GATGGTAGCTGTCATTTCCAATGATGCAAGTCAGGGACTCTAGGATTTTAACCAGGAATCGCGGTCCTCAGCCTGTTTCATTTTCAAGGACCCAGTGGTCCGAGCCCCGAATGTCCTGGCAGTTTCTCTGATGTGAGAGGTTTTTCGACTTTATCACAAACTGAGTTTACCATCTTCCCCTGCTAATCAGCGCCTCCCCCACGTCCCCATCTTGGGGACAGCTGACCATACATCCAGTCACTAGGCCAGACCCCTTGGTACTGTAACCCTTCCCCATCAGTCCCCAAGCCCTGTCACTCTGCCCTGTCTGTCTCTTCCTCTCTGTCTCTTGGGCCCTGTGTTGGCTCAAACCTTGTCTTCTCCTGCCTAGGTCTTTGTCCCAGCCTCCTCTCTGGCCTCAATTTTGGCCCCCAAGTGACGCCAGTAAACAGATAGTCATTACTGATTAGGTGGCTAGTAATTCAAATATTTCTTTTACAATTATTAATTATAGCTTTTAGTTGTTGCGCCCCCCCCCCCCCCCCCCCCCCCCGTTAGCTGTGCTGCTTAGGCAATATATTATCCGTCTCCCACTAGGTTCCTACAGATAACAGCTCCCTGGTGCCTGGGTCACCGTGGTAATGGACGTTTGAGCTGTTTTCCAGGAATTAGGACCCCTTGTCCAGTTCACACAGGTTGAGTGCACCAACCCACCAACTGGGCCCACGCAGATGCCTGATAAGTGACCTTTTTTGACGTCACGAGGCTGAAAACTCCACCCTCCGATCATGCTAAGACCACTATTTTGAGAACATGCGTCCTCTGAAGAGCCATGAACCTTGACTATGCTTGTGCAGATCAATTATCTCACCTCTTCTCACCTCCAATTATCTATCCCCACACGTCAGACCGCCTTGCCCTCCTACCCCATAAATATCCCTGAGTGCCCATTTTTGGGAAGGCGGATTTGAGACTTGTTCTCTCACCTCTTCACTTGGCTGCCTTGTGAATAAACTCTCTGTCTGCTGTAATCTTGTTTCGGCAATTTGCTTTCTGGGCGATGGGCAAAAACAAATGGGGTTCAGTAACAAAAGGGGTCTTTCTACACCCAGAGCTACCCCTGCTCATTCTTCCGGGGCTTCCCAGCTCCCCAGACAATGCTGCTGATCGTGGGCCCTGGTGGGTGTGGAGTGAGGCTGGACCCTTGATGGAGGGGGTGAACATCAAGAAGTCTGTAAAACGTAGTCCCTGTTACCTTTGTGATTCTTTGTATGCTATTTTTGGCCCTTTCACACACACACTTGAATAATGGTATGTGGAGGTGTAGAAAGAGCCGGGCACTAGGACCAGGACATGAGGACCAGGCATATCCAGTTGTAGAGCTGGAGTCAAATTTGTCTCTGTTATCAGCTTAACCTGTCACGTTACCTCTGATCCAGTTGGAGGGAGAATGTGGGACTACTGGGCAGACTCCGTCTGTGGCCCATCCAGCAGCCATCGGCTTTAGGACTAGAATTCTGATTTGTTGCGGCAGCAGCAAACCATTGTCACACCTCATTCCTTTTAATCAAGAATTGCTCAAGGGATGGTCATGGGCCAAGGGGACACAAAGAGAAATTTGCCTGGAGGCCTCTGGGAAACCTCTTCATGTGATGAAAGAATCCAGGAGAGGTATGTCTTCTTTTCTTCCCATTTCAAAAGGGTTCAAGATGGGCCCGCCCCACGGCCAAGCGGTTAAGTTCACGTACTCCGATTCTGTGGGCCAGGATTTCGCTGGTTCAGATCCTGGGTGTGGACATGGCACCGCTCATCAGGCCACACTGAGGTGGCATCCCACATGCCACAACTAGAAGGACCCACAACTAAAAACAATATACAAGTATGTACTGGGGGGCTTTGGAAAGAAAAAGGAAAAATAAGATCTTTAGGAAAAAAAAGGGTTCAAGCTTTTTCTGGGTGAGACAGACATTCTGTGAGAAGATGCCAGCAGGTTTGCTTGGCATTATTGCTTTATTTGATTATTTTTTCAAGGCAAATATAGGATGAAGAAGAGAATTATAGGCATATACACATTCACATTTCAGATAACACTCTTCCATTGCCTAAGTAGAGATCAACTCTTTTTTTAAAATTATTGCCTAATAGCTGTGTGAGGTTGAGGAAGTGAGCTCACCTCTCTGGGCCTCAGTTTTCTCATTTTTAAAATGAAGATAATAGTACCCACTCTTTAAGGCCGTGCTGAGGATTAAATGAGTTGTCATATGTAAAGTGCTTAGAACAGGGCCTGGCATATGGAAAGCACTAGAAAATTGCTCTTATTACTTTTGATAACTGAATTTGCCTTGTGATTCTGATTCTCCAGCTTTATTCAAAAAGCTGTCCAATTCTGTGGGAAAATGAATATCTGTAAAGATTAAATGTGTTTAATTATACAATACTTAAGGGATGGTAGGCTTAAATGGCTTCGGAAAATAGCTTTTTTTCAAAAATATTTTGTCATCTTCATGCTTAAGGATGTTCTTCATTCGAAAATAATAAATACACACTAAGTGGAAAGAACCAAAATGTAAATTTTCATTTAGTGATCAAAATTCTGAAAAAAACAAAAAATATCCTGAGATTCATATATAATAAATCCACATGGCAAATTTGATTTTCTAAAGCTGTAAACGCCTCATTTTCACTACTCATGTTCCACAATCATGCTTTTGAGTATGATCGATTTTACTGGTTTCTAAAAAAACAACAATTCAGGGGCCGGCCCGGTGGCGCAGCGGTTAAGTGCGCATGTTCTGCTTCAGTGGGGTTCTCCGGTTGGGATCCCGGGTGTGGACATGGCACCGCTTGGCAAGCCATGCTGTGGTGGGCATCCCACATACAAAGTAGAGGAAGATGGGCACGGATGTTAGCTCAGGGCCAGTCTTCCTCAGCAAAAAGAGGAGGATTGGCAGCAGATGTTAGCTCAGGGCTAATCTTCCTCAAAATAAATAAATAAATAAATAAAATTAGAAAAATATATGCGAGATGGTAAGTAAATCTCACCTGCAGTCATAACCCAGCTACGGCGAGCTCTGGTCTCAGGCGCTGCTGAGAGGTGCTTATGGCGTCATCTAGCGGCCAGTGTTGGAATAAAGTATCAAAGGCGGGAAGAGAAAGGAAAGAGGTGATTTCCAGCTCCAGCATCCAAGCACAGTTTCAGCAGTTTTCAAAGTGTGATTGGCTAAAAACAGTTTTACGGCACTAAAAAACTTACAAACATCTCGAGGGACACCTGATTGGGAAGATTCCTTTTAAGAGATGTTTAAGAAACACTGGCTTGGGCATTTATGAAAAACCCTCAGCCAGCATCATACTCAATGGTCAAAGACTGGAAGCTTTCCTCCTAAGATCAGGAGCAAGAAAGGGATGCCTGCCTTCGCCTCTTCTGTTTAATACTGTACTGGGAGTGCTATCCAGAGCAATTAAGCTAGAAAAATAAATAAAAAGATATCCAAGTTGTAAAGGCAGAAGTAAAACTATATTTATTTTCAGGTAACATGATCCTTATAGAGAAAATGCTAGAGAGTCCACACAAAAAGCTATCAGAGCTAATAAATAAATTCGGCAATGTTGGAGGATATGAGATCGACATGTAAAAACCAGTTGTATTTCTTTACGCCAGCAACGAACATCTAAAAAGGAAATTAAGAAAACAATTCCTTTCACAAGAGCATCAAAAAGAATAAAATACTTAAAAATGTGGGGCCAGCCCGGCGGTGTAGCAGTTAAGTTTGTGCAGTCTGCCTCGGAGACCCGGGGTTCATGGATTCAGATTGTGGGCTTGGACCTACACACAGCTCATGAAGCCATGCTGTGGCAGTGTCCCACATACAAAACAGAGGAAGATTGCATAGATGTTAGCTCAGGAACAATCTTCCTCAAGCAAAAAGAGGAAGATTGGCAACAGATGTTAGCTTAGGGCCGATCGTCCTCGCCAAAAGAAAAGCAAAAACAAAAAACTCGACCGAAGAGAGGAAAGAGTTGTACACTGAAACCTCCCAAACATGGCTGAAAGAAGTTCAAGACAATACAAATAAATGGGATGATAGCCTGTATTCATGGATTGGAAGACTTGAATATTATTAAGATGGCAATGCTCCCCAAAGCAAGCTAGAGATTCAATGTAATATGTATCAAAATACAAAACAAATTAACAAAAAACTCCCCTTTTTATTTTTCTATTTTTGCAGAAATGGAAGAGATGATCCTAACATTCATATGGAATTTCAAGGGGCCCCAAATACTAAAACAATCTTGGAAAATAACAAAGTTGGCAGACTCACATTTCCCGATTTCAAACCTTGCTACACAGCTACAGGAATCAAGACAATGTGGTAGTGGCATAAAGACAGAGCTATAAACCAATGGAATAGATTGGGAATGCAGAAACAAGCCCAGACATCTATGGCCAATTGATTTTTTTTTAAAGATTTTATTTTTTCCTTTTTCTCCCCAAAGCCCCCCAGTACATAGTTGTATATTCTTCGTTGTGTGTCCTTCTAGTTGTAGCATGTGGGATGCTGCCTCAGCGTGGTTTGATGAGCAGTGCCATGTCGGCGCCCAGGATTCGAACCAACGAAACACTGGGCTGCCTGCAGCGGGGCACACAGACTTAACCACTCGGCCACGGGGCCAGACCCTATGGCCAATTGATTTTTGGCAAGGAATCCGACCCCATTCAATGGAGAAAGAAGAGTTTCTTCAACAAGCAATGCTGGGACAACTGGATACCCACATGCAAAAGAATGAAGTTGCACCCCTACATCATACCATAGACAAAAATTAACTCAAAGACCTAAATGTAAGAGCTAAAACTATAAAACTCTTAGAAGAAAACATGGGGATAAGTTGTCGTGACCTTCGATTTGGTGGTGGTTTCTTAGAAAGGACAGCAAAATCACAGGCAATGGAAGAAAAAATAGGTAAACTGGGCTTCATCAAAATTAAAAATTTTGTGCATCAAAAGACACTATCGGGAGACTGAAAAGACAACCCATGAAATGGGGAAAATATTTGCAAATCATCTATCTGATGAGGGTCTCGTATCCAGAATACATAAAGACTCCTACAACTTGATAACAGAAGGACAACTCAGTTTAAAGATGGGCAATGACCTTGAATAGCTATTTCTCCAAAGAAGATGCATAGTCCTGATTCATTAACCCCTCGTTAAGAATCCCTATTCCTGCGCTCTCTGCTCCTTCCTCAGACCGAGAAGCGGAAACTTGGAGACCGTAGCCAATCGGATGGCTGAAATCTCATGACGTCACTGGTTGCCACGCTAGGGTCCAAAGTCTCCCCGGCGCTCACCTTCCGCTCCTGGAGGCGTCCGCTGGCTCCCACCACCCGCCCCCAGCGAGCTTGCAGGAGGCGCTGAGCAGAGGCGCGGACACCGAGGCGGCGAGGGTGCTTGGTGAACTGATGGTTGTCCCCTGGGTCGATGAGGATCTGCAGGTGCAAGTGGCCGGGGTCTCAGGGGCTGCGGGGCTGGCAGTGACCCAGGCGGACGCCCCATGCCCTGGGCCTTCGTTATATAAGGGGCGGTGGACAGTCCGATCGGACAGGGAAGGCTAATGGGATCCCTCCTCCCACACACACCCAAATCCTAGTGGCCAGGAAGTATTTCTTCCAAGAAACTAAATTTGGTATCGGTAAGAGCGTGCATAGCGTTTTAGACTTAATCCATATGCCTCCCTGGGCCTTCCACAGGCAGTAAGGTTCCTAGTTAAGAACGCAGACTGTGAGGCTAGACTGTGTGGGTTAAAATCGTAGCTCCTCTGTTTTCTGGCTGTATGGATTATGGGTAAAGTGACTCCCTCCCTGGGCCTCAGTTTCCCCATCTATAAAATGGGGGTCATAATAGCAACTCACTCATAGGCTTGTTGGGAGGATTAAAGAGGACAGCTGTGCCTGGTACACTGACCTGGACCGGGCGGAGCCTGGGAGGCTCTGGAGCATCAGCGGGAGCGCAACTCCCGGCACTGAAAGTGGGCGGGGCCTAGCGAGATGCGCTGAGCAGGAGAAACCCGGCCCCGCCCCTGGGAACCTCTCACTTCTGGAGCGAAGCAAATACCCGCCCCGAGGGGAGGGGCTTTCAAAGGGAATTAATTCATGCCATGAACAATGCTTAAGCTCCTGCTGTGTGCCAGTCCCTGGGCTAGGAATGGAGATCCAACAGGAAACAAGTCAAGAGGACGCCTCTGCCCTCCTGGGGCTCACGTTCCAATGGAGTGGAGTAGGGGGGACAGAGTAAATAGGACACACTGGTAAAATCAATATTACAAATTATATACTTTCTATTGTATAATATATTTACATAAATATATTTATGTATTTTTACATTTCTTTTTTTTAACACTTTTTTTAAAAAACGTTTTTTTATTTTTTCCTTTTTCTCCCCAAAGCCCCTGGGGTACATAGTTGTGTCTTTTAGTTGTGGCTTCTTCTAGTTGTGGCATGTGGGATGCTGCCTCAGCATGACTCGATGAGCGATGCCATGTCCACGCCTAGGATTCAAACTGGTGAAACCCTGGGCCGCCAAAGCGAAATAAGCCAGTCAGAGAAAGATGAACTCTATATGACTCCACTCATAGGTGGAAGTTAACATATTGACAAGGAGATCTGATCGGTGGTTACCAGGGAACAGGGGGCGTGGGGGAAGGGCACAAAGGGGGAAGTGGTGTACCCACAACATGACTAACAATAATGTAGAACTCAAATCTCACAAGGTTGTAATCTATCATAACATTAATAAAAAAAAAAATAAAGGTTTGCAAACCAGGGAAGTACACCTCAACCCGCAAGTTGATAGGTGACCCCCCCCTCGGCCTTGGGGTGGCTGGGTTTTAAATCTAAAAAGGACAAAGTGTGCAAGATTAAGGCTGAGCCCAGTTCTGCTTGGTCTTCCTTTCCAGCTACAATGTATCTTGTGCCCGGGGCTTTCTAAATGTCCTAACCAGGGAAGAGCTACCACATTGTTCTCTGGCCACCTGGCAACAGTCAAGGTTAAAATGTAATTTTAAATTTCTGCTCATAGCTCAGCCTTGAAGTGATCATGATAAGCATCACGTTGACTGTGGCCTTATTCTTCTCTCTTTCTTTATTGTTTTCCCCTGTTGCTCATAGGTTCACCAGGGTGACTCCTTGGATCAATTTGAGGCGTATGCAGTTTGCTTGATGCCCAAGTGCTCCCTACACTGTTTGGGTCCCATCCAGTCCCACGTAGGAGGCATCAGAGGGTGGCATGGGCTGAAGGTAGGTTGTGGCTGGAACCAGCATCATGTGGGTTGCCGGTGGGGGGGTGGTGTCCAGACACCACTGTGCAGTGTTTATTCAGGTGAGGGGGGAGCTGCCAGCAAGCTGCTCTCTTATCAGTGATCCTCTTGTTGTTCTGCAAAACAAGCTCAGAAATTTTGGTTACTTTGTTTCCCATGTCAACCTTGTGGGTATGAGGCACACTTTCACCCTAATCCAGGGAAATTTTAACTCCTTCATTCTCGATTTTAGTCCTCACTGTATTATGATCATTCCTCAATCTTGGGAAATGGGGGCAAAGACCTCTTCCTGCTGGGAAAGCTGCTTCCTGCTGGGAAAGGGCAAAGATCAGGGTCAGAAAAATGAAACTGTTGTATCTGTATTTTAAAATATTTCTGGGTACCAGGTGGGAGGTGTGAGGAATGCTTTGCATGACTAATATTTTAGTTGCATGATTCTTATCAACGGCTTTGGAACAACACCTAAGACCACATTTGATAATTAAATAGATGACCACATTTATTAACAAAATAGCCCAAATTTTTGGTATCCTCTCTATAACGGACCCCAATCCTTGGGGAATCCAGAAGAGGCTTGTAAACCAATCAAGGTTAGGGCCTGGAAACTCAAGTGAAATCTGATGAAACAGAAAGAAAAACAAGGTTAATGGCTGGAGAAAATTATAAATTAATTCCAGAATCCAGTCAATGGCTGCTAGTCAAGATTTCTAGATGTCAGGGTCAAAGCATCTCTGGCAGTTTTAAATGTCTCTCATGATGTCATCAGATGTTCAGGTAAACCTTTTGAGTGGCTTATACAGCAACAGCATGAAGATTGTCTAAACATGGGCAATTGTGGTGCTCTCTCTTAAGTTTATACCAAGCTGTCCAGTTTCGGTTTGCAGAGCCTCAGGACAAAAGGGTGGTTTCAGTTCTCAGTGATTTTAAATGAAAAGGATGGAAAAAATTGAAAATGTTAGTTTGTAGATCTGTACCGGATATTTGAAGAAACTAGACGAATTCAAGATCCAGTCCAGTTCACAGATAAAAAATACAAACCTCAAAGATAATTAGCAGAATTAGAATACATTATTCACCAATGTGTATTATAGTTTTTACTGAAACATAATTTTTCTCTCTGTAATCACCCTCATTTTTACCAAAGATAGCCAAAGTAAGACTCATTGGCTTGCAAAATAAGTCTAGTTTTAATAAACTTAGCCCAATTATTTACATAAGTACAGCAAGAATATGATCGATCATATGGGCTCTTTTAAATTGACTTTGCTGAAACTTTATAAAGAATCTCAGGGCCGGCCCCACAGCTGAGTGGTTAAGTTCATGAGCTCTGCTTTGGTGGCCCAGTGTTTCACTGATTTGGATCCTGGGCGTGGACCTAGCACTACTCATCAAGCCATGCTGAGGTGGTGTCCCACATAACACAACTAGAAGGACCTACAGCTAGAATATACAACTACATAATGGGGGACTTTGGGGAGAAGAAAAAAAAAGAATCTCAGATTGAATTTTAAAGAACTCTCCAGGCCAAGAAAGACAAGCCAAGGACTTGTCATTAGAATCCACCAGCAACACCTACAGATTTGGGTGAATTATTTTCTTTTCAAGGTCCCCAAAATATCCTGAGGTTCTCGCACCTGCCAGGGAAGTGTCTTTCTTTACTCACCTGCTAAGTTTGAAGGGAACCCTGTAAGCAAGGTACCAGGCCAACATTTCCAAGTGGCTTTATTTGTTTTATAAAGTCAGTCCTTGTTCTGCAAAGCTATTTGGTCATATCCAAGTTTATGCATGTTTTTCTCAAATATGACATTCCATATTTGATTGGGGTCCGTTATAGAGAGGATACCAAAAATTTGGGCTATATGACACAGTTTCCAAATGTGTCCTGCTATAAGAAGAACAGATTCTTATTGAACTTATGCAAACAGCCATATTGCCATGAAAATAAGCATACTCACTTATCAAAAGTTTGCAAATTCTCGAGGGGTCAGGTAGGGAGAAAAAGATAAATGCTTCAATTCTGCTTATAACTTGCTATAAGTCCTAGTTAGCTTAAGAGAAAACATTTCTTTAAATCTGGAAAAACAAAACATTAGAGCATCTTCCTGAGTTCATGTAATCTCATGATTACATAATTAAAAATTAATTTAATTTGTTTTCTACTTGAATCCAGTTTTTCCATTAGTTGTCTTAACTTTGCCTGATGATCGAGAATGATAGGAACCAAAAAGTTTACAAGTCCAAGAAATTTAAAAGATTTTCAGGGCTGGCCACATGGCAGAGTGGTTAAGTTCACGTGCTCTACTTCGGCAGCCCAGGGTTTCACTGGTTTGGATCATGGGTGTGGACATGGCACCACTCATCAAGCTGTGATGAGGCGGTGTCCCACATGCCACAACTAGAAGGACCTACAACTAAAAATACACAGTGATGGACTGGGGGGCTTTGGGGAGAAAAAGGAAAAATAAAATCTTTTAAAAAAAGAAAAGGTTTTCATTAAGGTTTGTATGATTTGCCCAGTGAAGTGGATACCTTGATCACTGGAGACTGTGGAAGGCAAACCCAAAGTGGGAAATACATTTTTCTAATAACTTCTTTGCCATTGTGAGATTGTCAGCTTTATGGCAAAGGAGGGCTTTACCCTATCAAGAAGACACACATACAATAACTGGAACATAATGATAATTATGATAATGCATATTAAGTAGCATTTGAATGAAATCCAGCTGCAGGTGTTCAAAGCACACAGAGGGAGGAGTTCTGAGGCCTCTGGGGACAGAAATAGTTTTTCTTAGCACACTATAGTGGGTGAAGGAATGTAAAAATGAAAAAACGAGGTTTGCAAGGGAGCTGGGAAGAATCAAGTGGCTGTCTTGGGTTTCCCATAGCACTGACTGTTTAATTTATACCCATTGTTCATTCATCTTAATTTCTCTTATCCAGGAGCAGACTGTTGCTGTGTTACAAGGACATCAGGATGGCAAAAGTCTGGCAATGAGGGGTCATTTTTTTTTTTTTTTTTGCAAGAGAAGCAGAATGGTTTTCATCCACATGTGTCATAAACTTTGTACATTTTGTTGTCTCTGCCTTTGTGTGAAAGTCAGCCAAGGAGCTTTCCTGATCTTCAGTTTTGGTGCAGACAACATTGTATACAAGGACGTATTAGATTTCCAGGAATTTCACATAATTTCTGGAAATCACAACATATATTTATAAAGACATAACATAATGTAATTTAATATACCAAGCATCTAATTCATTTAATATCTCCCTCTTTGTAGAGAGAATAAATTCTTTGAGAAGTCTCAGAGCTCATTGAAAACTCCCAAAGTTCCTTTTTAAGTCAAAAGAAAGATTTTACCCAGGATTTGAAGCCTGGGGGAAGTTTGTTAAAAATATCAAAAGGTTTTACCCCCCAAAATCCATTGGAAAACTGATGGAAATAATTAACAACTACAGTAAAGTTGCAGGGTACAGAGTCAACTTACAAGAATCAGTTGCTTTTCTATACTCCAATAACAAACTTACAGAAAGAGAACTCAGGAACATAATTCCATTTGCAATCGCAGCTAAAAACATAAAGTACCTAGGAACCAATTTAACCATGGAGGTGAAGGACTTATGTAATGAAAACTATAAGACAGTACTGAGAGAAATTGATAATGACTTAAAGAGATTCCTTGCTCATGGATTGGAAGAATAAGCATAGTTAAAATGTCCATGCTGCCCAAAGCAATCTACAGATTCAATGCAATCCCTATCAGAATCCCAATGACATTCTTCACAGAAATAGAACAAAGAATCCTAAAATTCATATGGGACAATCAAAGACCCCGAACTGCTAAGGCAATCCTGAGAAAAAAGAACAAAGCTGGAGGCATCACAATCCCTGACTTCAAAATGTACTGCAAAGCCATAGTGATCAAAACAGCATGGTACTGGTACAAAAACGGGCACACAGATCAATGGAACAGAACTGAAAGCCCAGAAATAAAACCACACATCTATGGACAGTTAATCTTCAACAAAGCTGCCAAGAACATACAATGGAGAAGGGATAGTCTCTTCCATAAATGGTGTTGGAAAAACTGGACAGTCACATGTAAAAGAATGAAGGTGGAGGCCAGCCTGGTGGTGCAGCAGTTAAGTTTGCACATTCCGCTTTGGGGGCCTGGAGTTGGCTGGTTCAGATCCCAGGTGTGGACATGGCACCACTTGGCAAGCCATGCTGTGGTAGGCGTCTCACATATAAAGTAGGAAAAGATGGGCACGGATGTTAGCTCAGGGCCAGTCTTCCTCAGCAAAAAGAGGAGGATTGGCAGCAGTTAGCTCAGGGCTAATCTTCCCCCCCCCAAAAAAAAAAAGAAAAGAAAAAAAAAAAAGAATGAAGGTAGACCACTATTTCACACCTGATACACAAAAATTAACTCAAAATGGATCAAAGACTTGAAGATACATCCTGAAACTATAAAACTCCTGGAAGATAATATTGGTAGTACACTCTTTGACATCTAACTAAAAAGGATCTTTTCAAATACCGTGTCCTCTCAGACAAGGAAAACAAAAGAAAAAATAAACAAGTGAGAATTCATCAGACTAAAGAGCTTCTGCAACACAAAAGAAACTAGGATCAAAACAAAGAGACAACCTACCAACTGGGAGAAAATATTTGCAAATCATATATCTGATAAGGGGTGAATCTCCATAATATATAAGGAACTCACACAACTGAACAATAAGAAAGCAAACAACCTGATCGAAAAGTGGGCAGAGGAGATGAATAGACATTTTCCCAAAGAAGATATACAGATGGCCAATAAACACATGAAAAGATGTTCAACATCACTAATTGTCAGGGAAATGCAAGTCAAAACTACACTCAGATACCATCTTATGCCCGTTAGAATGGCTATAATCACTGACTAAAAATAACAAATGTTGGAGAGGGTGTGGAGAGAAGGAACCCTCACACACTGCTGGTGGGAGGGCAAACTGGGGCAGCCACTGTGGAAAACAGCATGGAGATTTCTCAAAAAACTAAAAACAGAATGACATATGACCCAGGTATCCCACCACTGGGTATCTACCCAAACAACTTGGAATCAACAATCCAAAGTAACAGATGCTTCCCCATGTTCATTGCAGCACTATCCACAATAGCCCAGACATGGAAACAATCCAAGTGCCCACTGACTGATGATTGGATAAAGAAGATGTGATATATATATACAATGGAAGACTATTCAGCCAGAAGAAAAGACAAATTCACCCCATTTGCAATAACATGGAAGGACCTAGAGGGAATTATGCTAAGCGAAATAAGCCAGTCTGAGAAAGACAAACACCAGATGATTCCACTCATATGTGGAATATCAACAAGTACTGGGACAAAGAAAACAGTTCATTGGTTACCAGGGGATGGGGAATGGGGGTCACAGGGGGTGAAGGGGAGCACTTATGTGGTGACAGACAAGAAATAACGTACAACTGATGTAAACTATTATGAACTAAAAAAAAGTATATCAAGGGGCCGGCCCCGTGGCCGAGTGGTTAAGTTCGCATGCTCTGCTTCGGCAGCCCAGGGTTTCACTGGTTCAGATCCTGGGCGTGGACATGACACTGCTCATCAGGCCACACTGAGGCAGCATCCCACATGCCACAACTAGAAGGACCCACAACTAAAAATATACAACTATGTACCGGGGGGCATTGGGGAGAAAAAGGAAAAATAAAATCTTTAAAAATAAATAAATAAATAAACCCTAATAGAGAGACCTCAGGCTTTCTGAATACAGGAAATTATTTTAATAAAATCTAGATTTTCCTGTCTTTTGATTAGACTTACTCAAAAATAAGGAAAAACTTTTTGTAATCTCTTTATAGACAGCAGACTAGAAGTTCAGGAAAATGCTCCTTTTACGAGAGAGAAAATAAAATTCTAATTTTGTACCAGCTTCCTTTTTTTTTTTTGGTGATAAAGATTTTGCCCTGAGCTAACATCTGCTGCCAATCTTCCTCTTTTTCCTTAAGGAAGATTGTCACTGAGCTCACATCTGTGCCAATCTTCTGCTGTTTTATGTGGGATGCTGCCACAGCATGGCTTGATGAGTGGTCGTAGGTCAGTTCCTGGGATCTGAATCTATGAACCCCAGGCCACTCAAGTGGAGCATGCAAACTTAACCGCTGCACCACAGGCTAGCCCCAAAGATCAGTGGCTTTTGAACATATTGCATCATTTCATAGCAAGAAATATATGGTATACTATGGTCCAGCATATACCTATATATATAAAATCATATAAGTAATTGAAATAAAAATTTAATAATAAATTTACCTATGTATTACAGATAAAATTGAAGATATATGTATTACTCATTTATCTATATTGATAAATGTAGATACCATATACATTTTTTATTTAAATAAATGTTTCTCATAATTTACCAATGGTCTATGACCATGGTTTGAAAAATAAGTTACAGTAAATCCTTCCACAGTAGGAGAAAGTTCTCTTGAGAGTTTCATTGCTTCTATCTTCTTCTTTTTTTTTTTTGGAGGAAGATTAGCCCTGAGGTAACATCTGCTGCCAATCCTCCTCTTTTTGCTGAGGAAGACTGGCCCTGAGCTAACATCCATGCCCATCTTCCTCTACTTTATATGTGGGACGCCTGCCACAGCATGGCTTGCCAAGTGGTGCCATGTCTGCACCCAGGATCCGAACCAGGGAACCCCAGGCTGCTGAAGCGGAACGTGCGCACTTAACCACTGCGCCACCGGGCCAGCCCAGCTTCTTACCTTCAAAGGAGCTCCTGCTGCTTTGTCTGCATTCTGTCAGCATCAATGCACCTAGTTTGCATAGAATTAATTTACATTTATTATTCTAAGTTTTCTGACATTTTCTCTTTGTTTCATTTTGTTTGCTCAGCTCCTCTTCCAGCTTTTTTTTTTTTTTAACGGTTTGTAATCTTTGCTTTCCAGTGAAAACTAGGAAGAAGACAATTATGAACTGTCTATCATATCTTACCATCCTGTAGTAGATTAGCAAGGCCATAAACATATTTTATAATTTCTAGAAGCATATTTCTCCTTACAGAAAACTTTTCAATGTGGCACAAAACACGTCTCTTGATAGACTCAAACATCGTCTCTGTAAAAAAAAAAAGAAAGCCAAAACTAGACACACTTATGTTTAGCAATCAATGTCTCAGTATACCAGCCTATCCAGAAATGATTTAGATATTTTATAAATATCCATTATTTAGTTTAACTTAGTATAAGCTTCTATTTTATTTACATTTATTTGAACATTTGATTTTAACAGCTATGTTTGAACTAGACATTAAATAGTTAACCATCACCCCAAGTCGTTCCCCCTGCTGACAAATTCCACAGCAGAAACAGCATGAACACACCCGACTGGTAAACCCAGGCAGAAAAAGTTGTGTTTGCATTATATTTAATATTGATAACTCTGAAGACATGCCTGCTTTTATTAAACCAACAAATTTTTTTTTTCAGGTATGCATTTTTTTGGTGAGGAAGATTGGCTCTGAACTAACATCTATTGCCAATCTTCCTCTTTTTGTTTTTTCTCTCCAAAGCCCCAGTATGTAGTTGTATATCCTGGTTGTAGGTCCCTCTGGTTCTTCTCTGTGGGACGCCGCCACAGCGTGGCTTGATGAGTGCTGTGTAGGTTGGTGCCTGGGATCCAAACTGGTGAACACTGGGCTGCCAAAGCAGGGTGCTCAAAGTTAACCACTATGCTACTGGGCCGGCCCCTAAACTAACAAATGTAAGTTATCTTTTATGGTCATCTGGGCTAGTATCTATTACATTTAGAACTAATTTTTCTAAGTGCTTACTTCAAGCCAATTAAACAGAACTCTTAGAAATTATATCATCTGGAGACAGACAAATACATAGAGAGAGAAGCTCACATACGTAAACATACACAGACAGACCCGAACAGAGATCTTTAAAATTTTAGCCGTGTCTCAGGCATAAAACTCAAAAGAATAGTTGGATCCAAATTGCTCCCTGGCAGATGGACTCGTTCAGGTGGCCAAAGATTTCTATTAAAGATTATTTTCTTTTTGCTGAAGGATTCTTTTTAGAGCTGTTTTTGAAGTCATTGTGTCTTTCCGAAGCTTCTGCATATTAATCAAAGAATGCATTCCATGAGGAGAGGTTTTGAATCTTCTCTTTTAAGGGTAATCCCTAAGGTGGACTTATCGGAAACAAAGATTCCGCAGAATGGCCATTACGATCTTGAATTATCTCAAAAGCTTACCCATCTTTACATGCTTTATTTTATTTTATTTTTACTACTTTTTTTTTTTTTTTTTGCTGAGGAAGATTCACCCTGAGTTAACATCTGTGCCAACCTTCTTCTATTTTGTATGTGGGTCTCTGCCATAGCATGGCTGCTGAAAAGTGATGCAG